ACTATTTGGTAGGGCCATGTCAACTGTCAAATTTGACACATTTTTCGATGATCTCACCACGTGGCATGCATTGTCTCTCTTTGGATCTCAATATTTTCCCACTAGATGGCCAAGACCTAGTGTTTTTGCAGTATTTCGACACGCAAATGTATGATGTCACCATTTCAACTATCAATGAACGCATGGAACTAAAACAAAGCTTAATATAAAGGAAAAGCTGGAGAGGTGACGGAATTACCTACAATGTCGGAATATACCGCGTTTACCCTATTGACATCGTTATTGACTGTAGCGATAATTTTTGTTCTTTCTTCTTTGCTGTAGCGAATCATGATGAAAATTTAAGGCTTGATAATTAAACATAAATTTAGCAAACTATACAGGATAATGACGTAACTATGATACAATATTACCATGAAAATGTTCTTTTATGTTAAGATAAAGATAAGATAGACTCTAAGAATAAAACATGAAAATGTTTTATTCTTAGAGTCTAAAAAACACTATGCTTTGCCACTATACTTCACATCACTTTACTTGAAGTCCTGAATTGGTTAGCAACTTAGCCTAAAGCCCCTTTCACACAGGGCAGTAGATACTGCGCGCGTCAAAAATGCCGCGGCAGTATTTACAGCGCAATCTTTCACACGAGGCGCTTTTTACTGCTGGGATCTATCAGTCTTGCAGTGCTTTATGCACCATCAGTCCATCTCTATGTTCATGTAACAATATTTTTTTATGAAAATATATCTCTATGTGAGCATGATGTAAATACATCTCTATGGAAATACCTACATATATATTTTATGGAAAATATATCTTTTATAAAATATATCTCTATCACTTTAAGGAAATATATATTTAACAATGTATATCTTTATTTTTATGTAACAATATTTATGCACCGATATTTATGTTACAATATCAGTCTATAATCTATCAGTCTAGCAGTGCTGTTTATTATGCACCTAAAATACGGCACCACTGTCTGCTGGGATGTGGCGTCAATAACCACCCAGTGTGAAAGATTACATTGAATACCATTGCAAGCTAAACTGTCGCGGCAAATCTACCGCCGCAGTTTTAGCAGGACAGACGCGGGCGTCAGGCGTCAAATTGTACGCCGCAGTAAAAGCAGTCGTGTGTGAACAGCAGTGCACATTTCGTATGTCCGCTAAGGTTCGGCAGTAAATACTGTCGGACGCTGGCAGTATTTACTGCCCTGTGTGAAAGGGGCCTTAGTGTCTTGGCCACTTCTTCACCTTGAAGGCTTGAAGTTCTTAGTTTTCCGTCTAATCCTCAGGCTCTGTTGTAACTTGTACCTACGTGCTTCGAAAATTTAGTATCAATAATCATAAGAAATTTATTAGTTGTTTAATTTTGAATAATCACATTATTCACATATAGAAATCATATTACCTTTTAATGAAACATTGATTCTCCAAGTTTTAAAACGACAAAGTCCCACCGCTAACGGTGAAAGCTGTATTTTCTGATTCTGAACGTAAACAAAGCGGATATTTCATCGTCCTTAGAAAACAACTACTGAGTGCACTTTTCAACAGTATAGACGAATGAAATTGTGTATAAGAGACAGACTCATGATAGCTGAGGCCCTCATCATTAAGGATAGGACCCCAGCCATCAACCTTCAAACTACTGGATTTGTCNAGGACATGAAAATAGCGGATTAATATCAAGCATTAGAACAGCAAAATACAATTTTTAAATTCAATAGTTATATTTATCTCAGTAATTCTGAAAATATTGTTTCATAATATAAAATGTGGCATTGTTGTTGTGGCCAGCTGAGGCATCACTGGCGCTGCCAAGGCTGCTGCCAATATGCGACCGCTGCTGGATCTCCAAAGACATAACAGTAGCTGCTGTCTCTTATACACATCTAGATGTGTATAAGAGACAGACCTAGCTCATCACAAGGAACATTGCATCACCAAAGAAATTTTAGAGACAATAAACGCTTAAGTAAAGGCATGTAAAATACCACAGTGTAAAGGCATGTAAATACCAATTTTAAAGGCATGTAAATACCAAGTACTAAAATTACATCATAAAGTAATGGGGGCCTCTATGGGGGCTTAAACTATTGCTCTGCGAATGATAGAAAGATGGTGAGGGTGGGATTAAACTAATGCTGTTCGAAGAATAACTTCAGGGTGAGGATGGGAGAGTCTTTCTCACCTCTACAGGAGCAGCACCAGGAAGTCTAGCAGGTCAGTGTGGTTAGCTGCACCCTATTCCTGACGGCCCTAAACGTCATCACCTCTAGCTTGCAATAATCGATTTATGACGATTTAATGATCTGTGCATCATCTCTTCGTGTGTCCTCCCTTGTGCGCAGAATACTAACGGCTAAAAATCGCACCAATTAGTGGACCGTGGTTTTTCTCATTTTTAGGGTACAAAATCGTGGCCGGGCAGTGTGCACTTCCAAAGTAATCGCCCCTCCCTCCACTGCTCCAGCAAGGCAAACAAAATACTCTGTCCTACACAGTCAAATTTCTGACACGAAGTGGGAAAGTGAGCTCTCATGGAATCTTCACATGTAGATGCTTAAAGGCGGCGTCCATTAAGGGGATGAACTTGATGGTGCATGCACCTTACCGGACAGTCCTGGGATCCGACCGGCTTGTCCTGCTTCGCATTTACAGAGCAATACTTAGAGCCAAGATAGACAATGGGTGCATCATATACCAATATACCACAAAAACTACACAAGCACTAGAGGACCCATCCCTCTACTGGGCTGGGGTCTTCTGTATGTCCTGCCCTGTATGTCTGGGGTCTTCTGTAGTACAGGGACATACAGAACATCTCCCACCTTCAGCCTACATCGAACAGCTATCACCACCATCAGCCAATATTTCAGCTCTCCAGATGATTTCCCGCCTCAAACTACCATTATCACCAACATGGCTCACTGTTATTGTTGCATCTGTAGGGTCCCAGGACATGACAGGGCGGTGGCAGCAACCGTGGGCGCAGTTTCGTCAGACATGGCCATCTAGGTACAGTGAGGTCTAATTTCACGACCATTTCATTAGGGGTAGCGTTCGTTATCATAAGACAACAAATGAGAACAACCAAAGACAGCATACTGGCCTGAAGTTTATCGTACCACAGATGACAGATGGAGCTGGCACTGTGCAGACTGAGGATTGCCATTATATTAAAGAATGACATATAATTCAAGAGAACAGTTTGAAATATCTCCTATGAGATATTCAAACTGAGTTTTTTCAGTTGCTCCATTTCACCGACACAGCTCATCACAAGGAACATAACATGATCTATGAAAATTCAATAACGATAAAACGAAGCGGTCAAGTAAAGGCATGTAAAATACAACAGTTTATTTCCGGGTATACACTCGCCGACGATCCAACTCAAAAAATACATAAAAAATTAACGCGGCGCGTAAAACAAACTAACTCAATTCCGGACACCGTGCCCATCGTTGGTGTTTTCTCACACACGAATCATCAAGCTAACGGGAATTAATAACTTAATACCGAGCATTCGGGCAAAGGTACACTTGTAACTGATAAACTGTAAAAGAAAAAAAAAAGCCAAAGATGTAACATGCAATCAGCAAGATAATGCCGTTAGTCAGAATTTTAAAACCTTAAATTATACAAGGTAGAGGATTACTGAACCAAATGAAGGCATAACATTCCTCAAATTATTCATCTCAAGGCATTCGTAGCATATATAAAAAACGTGGTGGGTGTCCACAAACTTTCAATACGTTAACAAAAACCAACAGCTAGCTTACGATGCCATATTAATAAAGGTAATAACATACATTCCAAAGTAAATGTAACCTTTAAACCAAGGACGCTTCAATACATGAAAACTAATTCAGCGACTGACTAAAATAACATACGAGTAAACTGAAAGCAAGTTTTTAGCAAACTGTGTAAATAATACTTCCGAGAATCTTATATGACGTCTCAAATAAACACAGGGATGTTGTCGTGAACAAGTTAAATAACGCAAGCAGTTGTGTGAAAACTTCTCATGAAACCTCCCCATGTCAGAATTGGGTCATTCTCTATCGACGGTATGAATTAAATACTATTTAACGTTTTCAAGCAAGTAGTTCCATTGAGAAAACCCAGCACAAGAATATCCGTGAATAATACGAATGGACCACGAAACTTTATGAACTGAACCACTCTATGCTGATGACTGAACAAGCCAGATTACCTGCCGAGAAATCGCTGTAACTTCGCTTAACGCTTAATAAACAGTGATGGTCAATTTTAATTTACTTCGTCGGACATAGTAAATACTTCAAGCGAAAACAGATTGAGTAACAATTTCTTCATTATCTAACATTTTAGCTCGAAATAAAGAAAGCATCGCTTCCTCCATTGCAGGGATTAGATTTAGATAGTGAGGATACTCTAGTTCTCGCATGAACTTAGATTAATCCGCATGTACACATTTCCTAACCCATTTCAGGTTTGTCTTTGGAACCGTTTTCTTGCGAGTTTTCCCTTGGCATTAACTGAACTAGTTGTCACCGTGTAGTTACTATCATAGTACTTCGTCCCCCAGCTCAAAGTTCGACGACCTCTGCATTATGGATAAGGAATTGATACGACAAGCTTGCAGAATGCACATACTTGCGTCTCTCCCTCTTTCTCTTTAGCCCACAAAATTTTGCTTTATTTTCTTGATGTTAAATAAAAAGAATCCCGTTTCTAAATCGGACTTTAAACATTTGATAATTATTACGGTCATATATACAGGGCTAAAACTCTATGGTGTTCATTCAGTATCTAAATTATGAGTGATCCAAATCACATTATCCGCATCGACAACATGGAATTGTTGCTGGTATATTTTCATCATGTTCATCATATCACATCCTCGAGAAGAAATGCCTTTGGCATGAACCACAGCTCTTCCAATTAATTGCGAGGTAGCCGATAGTAAAATTTTAACTCAAATCTGCTAACGTATGAGTTACGGTGAAGCATCTGATAGCGCTCTAATTGTTTTGCATTAAAACGGCTGCAATACATTTGCTCGATGCTGAGCTTCGATAGTTCAAGTGGCCAGATGAAGCTGCATGATCAGGAAGCAGTTGGCTGGTAGTTCAGTACCCCGAAGCGAAGAGCAACACGGGCTTCGACTTCTTCTTGCCTTTCTTGTTTTTCTTGGTGCCCTGGCCTGTATGAAATAAAATTCTTGCATTACAACCATTTATCATATCTAGCAAACAAATTCGTATTTTGATACAAATCAGATCAAAAGATCAGTGTTGGTGCAGCATGAGCTAACATTGGCTATTGCAGCAACTAAATTGCACCACCTAATGTCGTGTAAGAACTACCTATCCATCCGCACCTATATCTCACAGCATTTCAAAAATGTAGATGTGCCTCTCGGAGTGACGACATAGAAGTGCACAGTATGTAAAACCTAGCTTCTAAGCATCGTGGTTCACAAGCTGAAGAACCCGTCAGAGAAGAATCCTACACGTAACTAAACAAAGTAAAATAAACTCGCCTGCAGAGGGGCTGGAGCTGAGCGCGTTACTTAGTATAGCATCAAACCCCATGGAGTACGTCTGGCTGTAGTCGGGGGCGACGAAGCGACTTACGTCATCCTCATCTTCATGAACGCCGCCACTGCGAGAGATGCCTCCGCCAGTCGGCGCTGAGGCAGTACAGAGAGCAATACACCAAACAAGGTAACAGAGTCACTCATTCTAAGATAATAAGGTTTTGATACACATGCTGCAGAGGCAACATTACGTTTCAAGGATTGAAATTCCAGAGAGATATCGTTTCAATAATTTCAATACATTCATTGATTTAATTGCTAGAAGTGCTGCTTTTGTCAAAAGCCCAAATGCCTGTTGAAAATGACTTGAAAACGAGGCAACTGGTTAGCAGAAAAGGCAGTAGGCTATTCGAGCTACAAACCTGCAGCTCGAGCCGCCCTTGGCCACGCAGGCGCTGATATCTCTCCCATCGAGGGCCAAGCCTGCTGGGGGCCAGACGAGCTCTGGGTGGTCAACATCTGCAGCCAAACGTGTGAAGATTTAAATGCGTAGGTTACAATAAAAAATTTCCTAAGTTGAACTGAACGTGATAAACTGCTCTTTGCTCAGAACCACATACTTATATTGTATGCGTTGTATTTGCTCCAAGTAAGGTAGGTTACAGGTTAAGCTCGACTATGTTGAATTAATAATGATTACAGACCTTAGCAAAAGTGAGCTGTTGCTGCTGCGCTTGTTTCGGCGGCACAGGTTTGCCTCGGCGGTCGGGCAGCGAGGTCGAGTTGACGGGACTGGTGGCCAGACCAGGGGAGGACCGGCCATCGGAGGACACGGACTGACGTTGAGACCGACCTCCAGTGCTGCTTACAAAAATAAATTTTAGGCTTAAGTTGTGCATACCTATCTGCCTCTCGGTGTAGAGTGCTTCTTCATAAGTAGCGCGAGGTATGATGCCGGGGTCGGAGAAACTGGTGTGCAGCAGCGTGGACAGCACAAACAAGAAGAGCACGGCCCCCACACACGGGATTATAGGTGACAGGTTCAGTGTCAGGTATGGACAACTGCAACACAAGACGATGAAATAAAGATTTAGTATTAGATTATCAAAACTTAACATGGATAATTTCTGAGCATTATCATTATAGTAATCTCTAAGTGCAAAGAATATATTGTGCCATTCGTCCATTTAGTTACCAGGTATAGAAGTTATAAGAGCTTAAAAATTATAATATTTGTAAATAGGGATTATTCAAATTGAGTCACTCAAAGCTGGAAATGTAGCTTAATTGGCAGAAATTACATTCATTTCATGTGCTCTAGTTGTGCCCATTAGCAGAACTCAACCATCACTGAGTCAGCAAGCTACCATAGCACATAGGTACTTAATTAGTAGTGGTTATTTACAATGAGTGCCTAGTCTAGATTTATATAGAAGAGTTAACTCACTCAAAGGCAAAGAAGAGGGCATTGGTGATAATTATAAGTCCCAGCGTGACATAAAAAATGCCAGGCTGCTGTGCCATGACAATGCGACCATCGCAGCAGAATTTGTTTTTGCCGGGATACACCTGCAACAGATGTGAGGTGAAGGTTCCATTAGGAAAAAATTAAAAAATAGTTGAGATTATGCATCAATGTTTAGAGGGATAATACAAACTAATCAATATTACACAAATAAATACAGTCAACTTATTTCATCCTCTATATACACGGACCTCAACATGTAAAACCCACAAGCAGCAAGGCACCTACCTGCCATTTTCTTTGCACAGGTGTAGTGCCCATGCTGTCTAGATGTGCTTCTGTGTCAGGATGTTGTTCTTGTGACTTGCAACAACAAGAAGCTTTGTTCTTGCCACCACTGTAGCAGCATTGGTCTTCCCCATCAGTGTTGCAACAACTGCAGCACTTGCTACCACTAACACTGCTACTGTTGCAACAGCTGCTACAACTGCATGAGTCTTCTTGACTGTTATATCTGGAGCAGCAGTGACAGCATTGAATAGATGTCAAGCAGCATCTATTGGTGCCCTTGCAGCATTTGCTGTTGCACCTCTTGCAGCAAGTTCTTTGTTTGCCACACTTGCAGCAACTGTCCTGCAGAAACAATTAAACAAGGTAAGGCTATGCTACAAATTTAGACCATAGAAATGGTTTAAGAAGATACACTAGAGCATCAGAATGAATTAATATTTATTCATAAAAACAATGAGAGACTCATGGCTCTTCCACAAGTGAAGTATATTGAGCTTACAACAGCTTTAGTCATACAAACTAAAATAAAATGTGAAAACAAGTAGGAAATATAGCACAACATCTTATACAAAGCAACATTCAGTGATATTTCAAAGTACTATCACTGCTCTTCTTTAGTATATCTTCTTACAAATAATTTATATACTATATTTGGTACTTGAGTACCTATTCACTACACATAAATTTTGTATGTATGGTGAAGTACACTATACATATAAGCAATTATAAATATTCATAGGCCTTTCAAACCTGATGCTAGCAGGCTCAAGCAATTACAAGCAGTATGGACTTATAAAGAACTGTGAGCAACTAAAAATAGTGCCTCTAAGCAGAGAAAATAATCAATGGAAGTGGCCATTAGACAAGCATGCTGAAATAAATACAATACAATACATTGATAAAATATTATGAAAAAATACTTTGAAATAAAAATAGAAGATGCAAGGACTTTCTAACAAAGATAAATCATGGAAAATATATTACGAATAAAACACAATCAGAAATAATAGTTTATTTGTTACAACATAACAAATTTACAAAATACAATTTGGTGCTTGGCATCAAAATTTGATGGAGTATGTACCATTTACTAAACTAAATACCAGTATGTTTGCCTAAAGAAAATGTTTCTTGGAAAAAAATCAATAAATACATAAAATAAATTCTGGATTCAAGGTAATGCAAGCAATAATAATAAATAGAGCGATGATATGACTGACAAAAAACATTCAAGACCAATTAAGTTAGCTATGGATAAAGTATAGTGAAATAAATAAATGAATGACACACATTGCAGTACAAACATGAACTGAAAACAATTATACATGTTTCAAAAACTTTTTATCAACATCATGGCTAACAAGTCATAAAATTTTAAGAAAAAATTTTAACAAAGATGATCTAATTTGTGGATAAGAAATTCTAATTTTTAATGTCACGATCCATTTAAGTGAAAAAAAAACAATATTAATATATACAGATGACTCAAACTATTAATTGCAAATGAAATGACTAAAAGATAAATTAATTATAGGAAAATGGATACAGGTTCACAATGAATGAAAATAGATACAGGTTCACAAACCCTTTGTCCATGTTGGTGCCTAGTTCTATTTGAAGCACATGAAGAAAACTGTGAACATTGGCTAACAAAACTCGTGTCAGCATTTACAACTATCACATTGCCATGAGAAGCAGCAGTTGCTGTGCCCCCTTCCTGACTGACAGCACTCAAGCTACTGGAGGTTTTGCTGGCTGTTGATGTAGTTGGGGAAGCAGCGGAGGGAGCCAAGTGAGGGGCAGAAAATTCCTCATAGTTGCAGTGCAGTAAGGCCTCGGAGGAGAGTGTTGGGCTTGGTTGAGTAGGAGAATCTTGTGCCACAGGTAAATAGTCATGGCTGTGGTGCTGCATCCTTGGTCTTCAGGGTAATTTTTTAGAAATGGATTTTTTCATCTACATTGAGAATTTCATTAGGATTTCAGATGCACAAGGAATTTTTAAACAAGAACAGGAAAAGTCCAAAGTTCTTGTAGCACTATACAAGCATTAGTATAAAAGATGTATTATTTAAAGATTAGTAAACAAACAACTCTGATGACTCATCAAAATAGAAATTTTATAGAATTAAAATACCAATTTTAGGCAAGTCAAACAAGAAGGCACATATGAACATAAAGAAATTAAATAGCATGTTGATTTATTAGGTAAAAATGATTTTATTGCTCTCCCTGCCATATTATTAAATAACATTTGCAATATAATAAGGTTTTGATACACATGCTGCAGAGGCAACATTACGTTTCAAGGATAAAAATTCAGAGAGATATTGTTTCCATAATTTCAATACATTCATTGATTTAATTGCCAGAAGTGCTGCTTTTGTCAAAAGCCCAAATGCCTGTTGAAAATAACTTGAAAACGAGGCAACTGGTTTGCAGAAAAGGCAGTAGGCTATTCGAGCTACAAACCTGCAGCTCGAGCCGCCCTGGGCCACGCAGGCGCTGATATCTCTCCCACCGAGGGCCATGCCTGCTGGGGACCAGACGAGCTCTGGGTGGTCAACATCTGCAGCCAAACGTGTCAAGATTTAAATTAATTTATCAATTAAACTGATGGCACTTAATACACAAACTACTTTAGTTTTAAATATTCTACAGAATTCTACTTTAACTCCAATGCATTTTATTAGCCATGTAAAGGTTGGTTAGAAAGAAATTAAAAGACGTATGTGGTGACTAGTAGATTTTCTCCGAATATATTTTATTGAAAGTATCTTAACTACTTCATTCATTCAACCGTACACCAGGAAAAAAAATGTATTGTACTATTTTCCGATAAAAAATCAATCTGTACCAAGGACCGGCAAACGAGCAAGCCAGTAAGGATCAGACTAGACACATCTTTGACATTGGTCAAAATAACATTGTCGTTTGACCAATTCGTATACCTATATGTATGCGAAGAATTCAATCTTGAATGCGTAGGTTACAATCAAAACTTCAGGTTGAAATGAACATGATAACTGTCATTTGCTCAGAACCCCATACTTATATTGTCTGCGTTGTATTCGCTCTAAGTAATGTAGGTTACAATTTAAGCTCGACTATATTGAATTAATAATGATTACAGACCTTAGCAAAAGTGAGCTGTTGCTGCTGAGCTTGTTTCGGCGGCACAGGTTTGCCTCGGCGGTCGGGCAGCGAGGTCGAGTTGACGGGACTGGTGGCCAAACCAGGGGAGGACCGGCCATCGGAGGACACGGACTGACGGTGAGATCTACCTCCAGTGCTGCTTACAAAAATAAATTTTAGGCCTAGGATAAATTATGAAGATAAAAGCATACAGGAACCAGGATGATGAAGAAAGGCGGATTTAAGAATACTTTCAACCCCGCATTAAGTCACATATAGAATAGGGGATTATAGTTCATTGATTAGTTCACAAGTGTATCGACACTAGAGACTCGGAGCCAAAAAACTTGAAACAATACTATATAAAATGTACAAATGTATTGAAAACGCAGTCAAGATCCTTGCCTGGAAGAGGTGCTCATCAAGGGATAGTCCTCCTCAGTGAACTCCCCAACTCCTCCACCACCGCCGTCTCCCCTGACACCATCGGCTACACTGGCGCTCGTGAAGGCGCTCTTACGAAGCAAGAAGCGACGACCTTCGAGTTCTTTCTCCTCCAGCAGACGATTTCTGAGCTCAATTTGCTGCTCTTGTTTAGCACGAAGATCGCGGGCTACCTCTCGCCGGTGTAGCGAACACTGAAATGAACAGCATAAAAATACAGTAGCGATAAAATGATTACCATGTCAATAAGTTAAACGAAGAGTAATTCAACATCGATTGTTTGGTTTTGATACGACATTCATTTAAAAGCAATATTAGAGTAAATAAAACATTAAAACGACCAACACACAGTTCTTCAAAAAAAAAACCCTGGGTTGTTGCATTCCATGAGAAGCGAAATCTTTGTTAAAGAATTTGGATTAACATCCTGTTTTGCTGCTGTATTTGGATTTCTAATTATTCGCATATTTATCTATTCTAAAGATCGGCTGTCATTCATAGATGGGCTCATTAGGTCTTTCTGTCTCGATAACTAAGATCAACGTAATAGTCAATGTTATGTATTCATATGCATTATGTTATTCACAAAATACTCTTGCTCTGCACGGTATCAATAACCCAGCCTGGGACCATGGCAAGGACAGCTACCCGGTGCAGCACTGCTATTTGAGAAAAAAAAAACAAGGCATCCATATTCAATGAAGACTTCAGTTAGACCTCAAAAAATATAACTCAGTATTCACTGCGGTGAGTGACAGAGGCATTTTCTCGTCGACGAAAACGTGGTCACGGACGGACGGACAGACATGACGAGCACAATAGCGCCTTTTTTCCATAAATGAGAAAATGCACTAAAAAGACGGTTATGATGAAAGCTAGAGCTCACCCTAAATTGGCGCAGAGTTTCTTGGGACACCAATGGAGGGTGGAGGTCGAGCTCGACGAGTTCGTAGGAGCAGCACAGCGGCAAGTGACCCAAGAACTTGATGCGTTTGCGAACATCTTCGTCGACAAGTCCATATTCCTGCATTCATGTTAGGAACATGGTTAAAACTCATCAGCCTTGTTTGATGCGCACAGAAAAAAAGGAAAACAATCAGAGGACAATAAAGCATCACGGAAAAATTAGAATATAGAATCTATCAGCTAGAAGAAGTCTATTTGTATATAATTCAGGTAATAGCCAGTAAATGTCCCTACTATGAAATACCTTTTCAAGTATTTTTGCCCTGATGGTTGGAGGGCAGCCCTCTACTCCACCATACTCGCTGGTGAGCATCCTCATGTTCAGATGGTTTAGATAAACGTGGCTGCCGTCAGAAGCTTGGTAGAAATACTGTACCAATTTGGGGGCATTGGCATCCTCTTTCTTCTTCACAGTTTGGTTCGTTTCAGGAACATCATCTTCCAATTCAAAATGAAGGCTCTCGGCTGCAATATTGTTAGCGATGAAATCACACGGCAATTCAGCTACAGAACCTCCATCAGCAATGTCAGAAACGAGGCCCACATTGTCAATTTCCCTGCTGATTTCTCCAAAGACAAGTTCATTGGAGGCAGAAGAAGACACGGAAGACGTGTCGTCAGAATTGTTTCTACTGCGCGCAATGTCGAATTTTGGGCTGTCAGCAGAGGTGATGGATGTCACACCAGGACCCAAGACGGAAGCTGGATCATCACTCGACGCTGATGGCACAGAGCTGGAACCAGAAGATGAACGATGACGGCCCTCCTTTCCTTGAGGCTCACACTGATGAATATTTTCCACAGGGGAAGACGCGTAGTGCACGTTTAACTTTTTCAGATTTCCATCAGATGTAATAACACCATCCTCGTGTCGGTACGACACGTTTTCTTCATCTTTAGCAGTGCATGGAGAGGAATTTTCAATTACTTCATTTATGGTATTGTGTAGATCCAAGTGGCTCATGTTCCTAGCAAGTTGATCCTGTTCTTCAAAACCAAAGTCGGGCATGCTCAGCTCGCGCTCAGCAATGAGCGCAAGGGCTTGTTCAATGAAACAAGCCTCAGGCTCCGAACCTTCCGCCACCATCTGCACTTCAAGTGCCGTGCGTTCTCGTGCAAGAATTTCCAGAACCTTAAACAAATGAAGCTTATTAGGTACTACTCACAGATTAAATTTAACTTCATCAATTTTCATGTGAAAGAAAGTATCGCAAAAATCAATCTTTATCTTTCAAAACCATCGCTCAATCTACGACCAGAAACAAGTCAGAATTTTATTAGTTAATTTTAATTTGTCCTTGTATTATTTACCTCAACCCTCAACACAAATACTTCAGTATGAAAAATCCATTATCTACAACATAAACCAAAAATTCCTAAGTGTGCCTTTGTATAATCTCGTTCCTTAAGGCCAGGTAACAAGAAGGGCTGTCAGCAAACAAAGGCCAAGTTCTTAGTACTTTGAACCAAGATTATCATAAACAAGGATGTGGGAAATACCTTAGCAGGAGTAGCCTGGAGGGTCCTGCGGGCGCGCTGCTGCGAGAGAGCGGTGTCAGGGGGCACACAATGCACAGGCTCAGGCACGGCGCTCTGTTTATGCTTACGCATGAGGCGCATCTCGATGCTCGTGCCAACGCCGTAGTCAGGGTGAACCACGCACACCACACTGTACATAAAGTCTCGACTCATTATTGTTAATTATCGAGTATATTCGTCCTTAGGTGGTAACATTATTGTACAATATCCGTAATTAAGTAATTTACACAGTGGAATTGTCGGTGGCGCAGTTTTTAACAGTTCCATCTAGCTGACGAATATAACTTGCCCAAAAAGCTTTCCATTCTAAATGTGACGTTTCAACACGTAAACGTCCAAAAATACAAGTTCAAAGTCTTTCATACCTATATTTTATGTGTAACTATAAACATAACAGAATTCCAGCCTGAACAAAAACATGAACTCAACTCGTCATCAGCAATTTGATTATACGAGATCATCTCATATTATGCCACAAATGGAACACCTAAAATGGTAACAGAGCCTTTGAATAAAGGTCGGGAAAAATAATAAAAAACGGAGAGGGTACAATTATCCACAGTATTAATTCCAGAGAAGAACAGGAAAGATAATTCGGAAGATTGTTCCGATAATTAGGCAGGACAATCAAGATATTTACTGTACCTCTTGAGGTCCTCCCTGACGACCATCTCGTAGCAGATGGGGCAGGACCGCCACTTCTTGTCGGAGAGCGCCAAGTAATGCAGGATGCAGGGATAGCAGTAGATGTGACCGCACCGCGTCACCTGATGCCACAATAACGCCATCAACATCAGTAAGCAACAGCAGCAAGCTAGCTAACATTAAACGCATATCAAGGCTCATCAGGGGCAAAACATTTACAAGTTGATATTGTTTAATCAAATTTGTGATGAGGAAGGTACTAAAAGAGGCTGAGCTCGCACTGAACGCATATGAAGACACATTAGAATAGGGAATTTACAAGTTGATATGGTTTAGTGAAAATTTTAATGAGAAAGTTAATGAAACTGGTTGAAAAACGAACATGGCTATGCAGGTTATAGTACAAAATTTACACGTTATTAAATTTTTACTTAAGAAGATTAATGGAAAATTGAGACGCTGTAGACCATTACAGTTGAACTAATGCATGATCACCTTAGGGGCCACAGGCTCGTAGAGACACACAGGACAGTTGGTTGGCTGCGTCATGTGCAGCCTCACTTCCTCTATGGCGCCCCACGACACCAGAGTGTCGGGGTCACTCAGAGCAGCAGTGACCAGAGCTGTAGAAGTCTTTTCCATGTCAGTCTCAGAGCATCGCGCCTCCCCAGATGCACCAATACTGCGCAAAAAACTTGCTTATGTACGGTAATTTATTTAGAAAATTATTACCTTTCTACTAAAGATAACCAAAGAAAATCTTTCAGCAAGAATACAAATTTACGCCACTGAAATCAAATGTTTTTCAATCTAAATGGAAAAAGTTACTAATGTGACCCACGAGACAGCAAGCATTTTCATGTGCAACATCCTTAATACAAGATAGGTCACAAACTCGGTACCATATTACGAGAATTAAAAGACAAGAATTGATTACATTCACAACATCTTTAAACGTGAGCTCACCCTGCAGCTGGAGTAGAGGCTGATGCAGGAGGTGTGAACCCAACGGGCAAGGCTGCACTTGCAACGGCCTTAGCCTCCATCTTGTAGTTCACCAGAAACTGGCATCTGAAGATGAGGACATAGAAATATTATTCCAAGTCAAAAGTATTATTACCAGCAGCACTGAACATGAACTTTGAAACTCATTTGATTGGGATTTAAACCCTTGACAAACTTGAAATTGCACATTTGGAACAAATTCAATTCATATCAAGAAACTGGTGAAAAAAGCAACATTCATGGACGCAATATTGTGATTTTTCTTTACATTTAAAAATGCCACAAAACTGATGCATGTTTTATATAAATAGAGATACCAACATATTCACATCGAGTCATTTTTCCTTTGCAGAGCATCAATCCTAACAACAGATTTCATCAATTATTGATATATTCAACTCCATACTATGGATAGCTTCAGCTTTAGGATTCAAATTCTTTAACCACAAGTTCAAACAGATATGAAATTAGCCAAATAAAATCAAATACTCAAACGATAATTACCAAAAACAATATTTTCTGCTGTTAGTCAGGACCGTATTAGCAGAAACGATAACAACACCAATAACTTTTACTAAAATACCTAGCTTGAAGGAAGCGCTCTTTGGTGCGATTCTGGAACAGAGCTCCAGAGCTTTGATGCAGCTTTGTCTTATAGTTCCTCTTGCTCGCCTGCTGCCCCCCGTATGAGTCCCAGTGCAATGTGTGGGTGATATCCCTGGCATGGCGTGACCTGGTGAACCCACCACCCTGTGCTTGGTGGGTGAGCTGTCGCCCAGAGCTCTCATAGTACTCTTCATCATCATAATGGTCAGATGACCTCCATCCCTGAAGCTTTACCTGGAAAATTAAAATTAAACATAAATCATACAAATTAAAATTAATAGAAATAAGCTTAATGACACATTGATCATGTATAATAATTATTAATAATGACACATTAATCAGATATCATACAAATTAAAATTATTAGCAATAAGTAATAAAGTTGAATTTAATGCATATTTCATTGCAGCCTAGATAATTCTTTATTCAGCTGATGCTGGTACTAGGCAATTATATACCTGTCCACCCTCCTTCTCTTTGATACGGTTGGTCTTGTTAGAGGGACGTCCATAGCCTGGCTTGTTTGGCCAGCCATTGCTTTTCCCCCGACCACCTCCTCCACAACCCCCACCAATGCCAGTAGCCACCAGGCTGTCACGCTCCCAATCTCGCTGCTGCCGACGACCACCTCCATTTGACCGCTTGCACAATTCTGTAATTTTTTTCAAACTGATATAAAATCTGTTAACAGGTTTGTTGACCAAATGTATTGAATGGTTGAACCATTCCTGTTCAAATGGTATTGTATTCCTCACCAAATGTATTAAATAAAATGAGAATGCTAAAAATGGAAATATGAGAAAGTTCCAAGTGTACTACCTAGATTGAATTACGCAGTTAGATCAAAATTATATTTTTCTTTTCAATACTATATGTATGTCATTTTCATTCCACTTTGCACATAATTCAGATGACAAGAATGGAAAATAATTTTCAGCATTATTTGTCCATTTCTTAACTTCTCAACTAGCTTAACCAGGCCACAGGTGAGCCTATCCTTGTTAGGCTTGTTTAAGGGGAGCATCTGGAGTAAAAGTCAAAATTTTTGGCTTTTCTGGTTTTTATGCTCATCTTAAAGCTTACTTTCTGCCGCATCAAACGGTACTAGAACCATCTCTGTACGTTGATTCATGTGTTCACGACAGATCCCAAAAGGGGGGAGGGTGGTAGGGTCCCGTCACAAAATCCTATGGAGATGCTTACGGCTAAGCTCTATATATAAATGTGCTGTCGCTGGACCTACAGCTCAGTTACCCGAGAGACATCATGCGGAGAGATGTCCACTGCACTGCTGACTGACTTTGTAGCAAGCTAATGCTTACTTTTGGTATCTAAGCTACGTTACAGCCTTTACATAGCACACCACAGTTTTCCTCCTCTACTGAACAATTTGAAAACATGAAAACCTCTCTCACGCCAAACCTATCTCCCCCTACAGTTTTGAAGCTACATCAATGAGACAAACACCATTCGATTTGGAAAAAATCTACAAAAGTGTGTACGCATTTTTCTAATTTTGTTATAGTTTAGATTTTATTCTGCAAAAAGGGGGGAGGGCAGGGGGTAAAATAAAAAAATTTCCGAAAACCTTACAAAAAATGATCCCACACCCACAAAAATGAGAATTTCAAAAAACGCATACACACTTTTTTAGATATGGTCTTTACGCATCGAATGATATGTGTTTCGATGTTGTAGCTTGAAAATCCTAGGAGATAGGTTTTCTAAAGTACCCCTTTTTTGGCCGTTTTCTGTGTGTTCACGTGTCTGTGTTCACGTTTTCTTTCACTTTTTCGAAAAATTCACATGAATAAAAAAAAGTCTTAGAATTCCATTTTACATACGTGTACCAAATTTCAAATCGATCCGTCTGTAAATAACCGAGATAAATTTGACCCCAGACGCTCCCCTTAACTTATTAAATAGATTTGCTATGTTGACCTTCTGCACTAGAGTCAGAGTGACTAGACCACCTTATCAGATGAAGTAATGCCAATCTTAAGAGAATAATTTTAGTATAGCAGAGCCTAAGAAATAGTACAATTATATACACAGTCATGAAGTTAGTGAACCTTCGAGTCTATGACTCAATTCAGCACAATTAAATTAATCAACTAGACTATCATGATTAAGATATAAGATGACAAATGCTGTTGCCTGTTAACAAGTTGCCCCTTGGCTTGAGTCTTGACAGAAGTGAGCACTGAGCAGTGAGCAATGAGTAACAATTAATATTTGGTGCATTGGTGGCAACCCAGAGATTTTTACAACCCTTCTCTTTAACTTCACTTCTTGTCCATCTGTCTGCTCCAAATCTTATAATCAATATTTAACACACTTCTATCTATCCAACCAATCTGAAATTTGGCACATTTGCATAAAGTTGGAGACAATCCACAAATCAATCAAAATAATGAATAATTTTAAAAATTAAAGAATTTTTCTTTTCAATATTAAAAAAATTCAAAACAATTTTTGTCAGCTACAAATCTTATTATCAATATTTGACACACTTCTACGTTCTACCTCTCCAATCAATATGAAATTTTGCACACTTGCATAAAGTTGGAGACAATGCATGAATCAATTGACAGAATAATTAATTTTGTAAGTTTTTTTTCATTATTAAGGGGAGCGTCTGCCCCAAAAAAAGATCTGGGATATCAACAGACGGATCGATTCAAAATTTAGTACACATATGTAACACGGAATTCTGTTCTTTTTTTTTTTTTGCTCCTGCAAATTTTTTAAAAAATGAAAGAAAATGTGAAATTCCTAGAAAACTGCCAAAAAGGGGGTACTGTAGAAATCGATTTCCTCCTAGGATTTTCAAGCTACAACAACGAGACACAGATCATTCAATGCGTAAAGACCATATCTACAACTGGGTGAAAGGGTTTTTTGAATTTTTCATTTTTGTGAGTGTTGGGGCATTTTTTCCGAAATGTTTCAAAATTTCCCAATTTCACACACAGCCGCCCCCCTTTTTGCAAAATAAAATCCAAACTATAACGAAATTGGAAAAAAAGCCTCCCTCCAGTTGTAGACGTTTTGTTTGCAAATCGAACAGTATATGTCTCATTGATGTAGCTTCAAAACTCTAGGAGGAGATAGGTTTGCAGTGGCAATAAGTTAACTTTTCAGAAGGGCCCAACAAAGTCGCGCGTGCCTCGAAAAAGACATTCAAGGGTGCAAGGTTGCAAGACTAGACAATACTTGAGCTCAATTTCTGTCAAGGATGGTGTGAACAACGGCACAAGAACCATCCCATACGACTGCAGACAGATAACTTAAGCACAGCGTGTTCAGACTAGCTATTCAAGTGTGCTACCGGTAGTTTCGGCCTATATTTAATGTTGAAGAACTCCACCACCCCTAACCCTTTTGCGCTCTGTCGTATACTTAAAACTGAAAAAGTGAATTTAACGATTTTTGTCCCAGAAATTCAGGGCGTAAAGGGTTAAGTTGAGCATAAAAACTGAAAAAGTCAAAATTTTTTATTTTGGGGCAGACGCTCTCCTTAAAAAAATTTAAAATAATTTTGTCTGCTACAAATCATATAATCCATATATGACACAATTTGACCTGTTCAATTGATCAGAAATCGTGCACAATTGCATAAAGTCAGAGTCTCAGAGACAATGCATGAAACATGAATCAGCTTGACAGAATAAAATCAATAAATAGCTAGCTAATTTTGGAAATTTAACAAATTTTGATATCTTACCCCTAGACAAATTTTGAAAAAGACTCTTTAATATTTGAAAATAAAATTGGAAATTCATTGTACATATTTAACATCCAAGACAATGCCTCCTCTTCCCAAGTTCCCATGCACAGCTAGCTTCTGCATAGTTTAACTGTAAGGAATGACGGGCACAATATTTAATGGATCATGGATGTGGATCTTCAGAAGTGTTGTCTTAAAAAAGTAATTTTCAAATGCATATGTTTAGAATCAGTAATTTTTAATTTCCTCATTCACTCAATATTTGAATCATTTTCTCATGCATGATAATGCTGGTGTCCAAGTCTCCAAGATACTTACTACTCCACTTACAATTGATGGGACTGTTTATTGGGACAGATGTGAATCATGTGACTGAAAAATTATCTTGAGGAAGGGGCCTGAAGTGAAGGGCAACAAGAAATGTTCCCTTTGCCAGTTGCCACTTGCCACTAGGCCCACTACAATGACTACCTACATATCATTAGCTACCTACTCATTAGAAGATTACCTAGATTAGTACCTATCATATTCATACCTAACTTGACTTAGTCTAGTAAGTCTACTATGGTAAACGCGGTATATTCCGACACTTTAAGGACGCATCGAGAAATAAACTATAAAAAAAAAACTTATGCGTTACGTAAGTTCTGTTGCCTTCACATGACTCTCAAAACACTTCACTACGCGTCAGCAACGATGAAACGTCACAAAATGTTGCCATATTTATTAAAAAGCCTTTAGAATGGAAACCTACCAAATCCCTATATTCCGTCACTNGTTAATTGAGCTTATAGACCGTATTTCTAGTCTTCACTTTGTTCATTAATATCAAAGTTAATTGAGCTTATAGACCGTATTTCTAGTCTTCACTTTGTTCATTAATATCAAAGTTAATTGAGCTTATAGACCGTATTTCTAGTCTTCACTTTGTTCATTAATATCAAAGTTAATTGAGCTTATAGACCGTATTTCTAGTCTTCACTTTGTTCATTAATATCAAAGTTAATTGAGCTTATAGACCGTATTTCTAGTCTTCACTTTGTTCATTAATATCAAAGTTAATTGAGCTTATAGACCGTATTTCTAGTCTTCACTTTGTTCATTAATATCAATGTTAATTGAGCTTATAGCTCGAATTTCTAGTCTTCACTATGTTCATTAATATCAATGTTAATTGAGCTTATAGCTCGTATTTCTTGTCTTCACTATGTTCATTAATATCAATGTTAATTGAGCTTATAACTCGTATTTATGGTCTTCACTATGTTCATTAATATCAATGTTAAGTGAGTTTATAGCTCATATTTCTTGTATTCACTATGTTCATTAATATCAATGTTAATTGAGCTTATAGCTCGTATTTCTAGTCTTCACTATGTTCATTATTATCAATGTTAATTTAGCTTATAG